GAAAAAAGAGAAAACAATATTGGCTCACCTTGAGATCAGGCACCTGGCAATTGAGAAACAGGTGGGCATAGGTTCCTGTCACTTCTGGTTTGAGTCATCTAACCCCAAATATTTTTGCCAGTGAAATTTGTCTATTAGGCCTCCCATTGGGATAGTCAACATGAAAATTTCTATCAAATTCAGTATTTGCTGAGGGGAAAAAAGGCAGAAGACTTGCTCAGATTTAGTCACAAGGAGACTCCGAGTACTTTCAGAAACAAATAAATTGTACAATTTGGCAGAGACAAGGCCACAGTTAGACAACCTTAATTTCACAAGCAATATGTGAAACAAAATGAAGGTAATAGGAGTGGTCATCAAGGAGTCAACACAGAATCAAAAAGAGAAAATAAGGTAGAAGCCACTGCAACCAATTAACTGGCTGACAATCAGGGGATTAATCTGAGTAAATAGTCAGTCAGTTCCCATGGGTCACTATAATATTTATCAGCAATACCAGGTCTTCACCATATAAAAGCAGCAATGGAAAGCATACAGAAGAAAGAGTTACTCAGTGGCTTACTCCTGAACAACTGTCTACTGACTACGATGATAAAGTTTGAAATTTTGTCCATCATGGGAGATACAACAGTGGGAGACACAGAATGGCCTAACAAACAGAGCAATGGACTAGGGATCAGAGCTTTTGTTTCCATTTCCGTCATAGGACTGCAGAGTATCTGCAGATAAGGCCTCATACTCTGCCTTAGTTTCACCACAAGCAAAGGATGAAGAAGCCTTACACTTTGAGTCACAAGAACAGGCCCAACCAATTTGGTCTGAAAAGTGAAAAAGCTTCTGAAAAACTGAAAAAAAAAAAAAAGGAAAACAAGAATCAGTTCATTAACTCACCTTTTCAGGTGATGTTCTGTCATCTGAGGAAAAGGAATGAAAGAACTGCTTTTGCAGGGTGTATTGGGTCCATCTGAAATGGAGTTAATTTACCCATAGCAGCTCTCATCTTGCTGTGCTTTGTAGAGGTAGCTAGAAAGGTGTTGAGAGCACACAAGTGTTTTGGCTACTGCTGAGCAGGGCTCACAGAGCATCATGGATGTTACTCCTACATTTCCCTCAACCCTCACCAGTAGGCTGGGGGTGGGCAAGACCTTGGGAGGGGAAAGAGCCAGGACAGCTGACCCAAACTGACCAAAGGGATATTCCACACCATATGTCACCTGCTCAGCAATATAAGCTAGGTGAAAAAAGGAGGAAGGCAGGGG